CCGGCGATAACTTACCAACGAATGAGCCGTGTGCTCGTTTTTCTATTCTTTCATAAAAATTATAAACAAAATGAAAAGTGAATAATATGTTAACGTTTTTTTGTCAACGTTTTCGCCTTCAGAAAATGGTGTCGAAGCAGTGTTTTCAAACATTGTTTATTCGGAGCATATCTGATATATTCGGGGAGAGCGTTCCAGAGTAGTATAGCTTGTATTGTAAATGATGACTTGAAAATTATAGTACTACACAGGGGAATACTATTACTTTTAAGGGGAATACTATTTGATGGACGAGGTAATCTATTTCGATTATAACAAAGAATGGAAATTATCTTTAACATAGCCTACTCCTTTTTAAAAGGCTGGCAACGCTTCTGCAATTCCCCTGATATTACGGTTGTTCATGGGCAGCGGTAGTCACTTACCATCAGGTGAGCCGCATGTTCGCTTGCCCCCTCTCCTATAAAAAAATATAATGAAGGATTTGGTCAAACAAAATATACTAAAGAAGTAAAATTCTGGAGCTCTACGCCTTTGCCGAATGGTAAGCCATTTCAGCTTTGCACGTTACGTAGAAATATGGTAATACTTACCTAAACCGAAAATGAAACTTATTCAATTATTGAGAAGGCGCTTCAACTTATCCAAAACGTGTTGGTACAGATCTAATATACAGTAGCTATAATTTATATAGAAGCAACGAAAAAATTATAAGCGATGTGCGCTACCCCCAAGGATTAGTCGATATCACATATGGATCCAAAATTACATTAAATTACTTATGTATGACAGTGGATTGTATCGCAAGGTTCCCTTATTCATGTTAGAATTAAATCCAGAACTAGAGCGTGTAAACTCACTTTATAAGAAAGTAAGAATATCGAATGCAGCCGTGTACCGGTGCAGTATTTTTTAAAAAAAAAACGTTACCCCCACACTAGGATTTTCTCCTGTTTCGTGGAAGGCAGTTTACAAACATAAATTGCACAAGGACAAACATCCAGACCCGGAACAATTATTTGTAGGCCATACAAATACTTGTTCCGTGCGGGATTCGAACCCGCGGCCCCCAGCGCTACAACTAATTGCTAAGCCACTGCGCCACGGAGCCGTTTAAGGTGAAACTCCTTATTTTATTTTTTATTTTTTTTAAATTTAGAATAGGATGACAAACGAACACACAGTCCACCTGATGGTAAGTGCAACTCTACACTTCTTCTGTGAGAGCGTGGTCTTTTCTCAGTTGAACTGACCCATTCCTACTACAACTATAATATGCAGCATGGCTCTACGGTATATAGAACCTAATACTGCGATTTTATTTTTTATTAGATATAGTGAAAAGATGCAGATTGTTCAAGGCAGTGGACTTGTTGATAGCTTTAAATATGATGATAAAGATAAAGTAGGTTTCCACCATGACCCCATTTGATTCCGCAGATAACCTAAGAGCCTTCTATGAAAAATTACAAGGTTTTATACAAGGCTTCCGATAGGTAAAATATCCAGACCGGACTGGACTAGAGGTGAATGAGCGAGACCTAACCTTGACAATAAGTTTGCCAGATATGTCGATTCCGGAAAATATTTCCCACTATGGGGTGACCCTTATCCCTGTGTTTGTTGAGGAAATAAATAGCAAAATATATAATATAAAAATATTAACACAGTTCGTTTTAAATAATTCATAGTAAAGGCCAAAGGCTTTTAAATTCATGAATGCTGGTTGCAAATTCATGGAGAAAATACCGTCTTTAAATTTTTCCTTATAAAACGTGCACCTCTTGCCGTGCCGGAGAAAAGCTCTTTTATGATCATCTTTAAGAGTAGCGTTAGCATTTGTTCGTTGAAGTGTTTTATCACTAGACGGAATCACGGCTTATTTCTACATACTGACGTTTCAAATTCTCTTAAGTACCTTTTAATATTTTGCACTCACAGTTCTTGAAAATCCTTTGTGTCTACCTACTTATTTCTATTTATTTGAATGTTATCTAATATTCACATGTAGTGGCGGTGTAAGAATATCCTCTACTCCATATCATCCCGTGGGTATCGTAAGAGGCGACAGAGACAAACAAATCAGCAGATAGACAGCAGCGTCTTCCTAATAACGACTAAAAATAATACTCGTAACACTGTGGTAGCCAACCCGCTTGCCAAGTGTGGCAATTATGGCTAATATCCCTCCAGAGAAGCAATCTATGGGGGTGGCCTATATTCAGCGGTGGACTTTAATAGGCTGTAACGGCAACAGTAATAATTACGCGCTAAGGTGGTATCATTGAGGCTGATGTGGATGTGATTCGGTGTGCTCAGTTTTTTTATAATTTCTCATTTAGTCACACAATCTCAAATTACCCATATCATTAATGAGGAATTTGATATTGATGTTTAAAAAGCAAGGCTAGTATCTTAAAACTAATTGTAATAACTCCAATAATTCATAAGCACGTAAATAGCTAGGCCCTCCCGTTGTAGGAGAAAAATGACGCGGATTGACGATCGCAAGTCTCACACCTTTAAAACTACTGCCGATAACCGGTTTGTGTATTTTGCGTCAGGAATAAATGAGATTGTTATACCGCCAGATATTGAAAGCTAACTTAGTTTCTTCTTAAGATACCAACAGCACGCAATGTGGATAAGGCGTCCCTCCTGCCGTCAGTACAGTCTGTTGAAACTACATACGTAAACTAATTAAATTTTCTAATAATATTGAAGAAAAATTACACAGTATATAATATTAAATAATAATAAACCTATAATTACAACGCCACTAGGAAGTTTCATAAAAGCAAACATTTGTACAAATTAAATTTAAAATTGTAAAGTATTATACGGCTGAGTTCCCATAAGTCCGAAGGCAGGCCATACCCAGCGTGCGACTGACTGACTTCACAATAGTTGAGATTCCACAGAGTAATGGTACCCAGGTTTTAATTACATGTGTAGCGAAATTGTTTAACTGCTTTTACACAACCCAAGTAAAATGTTTAATCTAATAAGAAGTTTATTTCGAAAATTTTAAATAAAATAGTAACCTTATTTTGGCAATATACAGACTACGATCTTACTGATAAAAATCGATATCAGTTTAAGAAATACTAAAGTTGCTAGCGCTCTCTTCACACAATCACAATAGAAAGAGACAGATATAAATATAATTAATACTTCATTTAAATAAGGCGATAATCAAAGATTACAAGTAAGGTTAATATCACTTAATATATAGATAATTGCATATTCAGATATATTAATGTAAATATTGCAGGTCTCTCAATCGTTACGCTTGTTTAACCTTAGTCAAGTCAAGCTAATTAGAATGTTTGATTACGTGTTACAGCATTAATGATGCATGCATTTTGTTACCGTTGGTGGCGAAAATAAGAGACCATTAATTTAATTATACTCATTATGGTTTACACGTTATCACAGTGAACTAATAAATTATTATTAAAAAGCGACGAATTCGACTGTAGTGATCTAACTATAAAACTTTTTATCTATACATATATTAAAAATGTAAATTGTAGGTGACATTTTACATTTTTGTGACAAAAATGGTAGAGACAGACTTAAAATAAATAATCTATACAAATAAATAAAATTGAAGTGTCTGTTTGTAATGTCAAAATTACAGTTTTTTACTAAATGCATATAAAAGTAAATACGGTACCTATAACTAAAATACAATTTTTAAAATTTTTGTCTGTCTGTCTGTCTGTCTGTCTGTCTGTCTGTTTGTTCCGGGTAATCTCCGAAACGGCTGGACCGATTTTGACGGAACTTTCACTGGCAGATAGCTGATTTCATAAGGAGTAACTTAGGCTACTTTTATTTTAGAAAAAGAATTAGGGTTCCGCGCAAAAACATAAAAACCCTAACACGCGAACGAAGTCGCGGGGAACAGCTAGTATTATAATATGTCGATTGATAAAAAATAAATTCTAAAATCAATTAAAATTTAAATGTACACGATTTATTATAGTAACCTCAAGCATAAGTTTTCATATCTGTCGAAGTAGTAGGTATGACAAATGAATTGATTTGTCAAAATTATGTGTCTAGTTTAAAGGCAATCATTCAACACGATAATAAAATACATACCAAGCCAAAAATGCTACCTTCCCTTTGGGCTCTTGTGCCGCTGTCGGGTAAAGCGATATCAATTATGACAAAATAGTTGTTCATGGGCGGCGGTAATCAAACCATCAGGTTAGCCGTATTCCCGTTTACCCCTCTCCTATAAAAAAGACAGAAAAAAGAACGTTCTTAATGAAAGAAAGCTTCTTATATCTCCCGTCAAACTAATACAGGTAGGTATGTTTATTTTACATACTCTTTCAGTTATTTCCAAGATAAATTATTCTAAATGAGGAACTATTTGGTTCAATCTCAGTATCAATCTTCCCCATGTTTCCTCATAATTTTTAAATAATTACTAAAATAAATCGTTTTTTTTTTTTATAATAAAACTTATATAACATCAAATCGTTATGATTTTAAATATCAAATAAGACATACAATTCAAAGAAATTGAACTACATCACGCATGCAAATACGTCAAAGAAAACTTTACTTTACTCGACTTCTGCACGGAAGACGTAACGAGCCAACGAAGCTGTTACGAATAAAGACGTTAAAATAGGATTTCTTTTAATCTGGAATAAAAATAACAACTTATAATTATACAGTTTTCCAGAAAAATCACATGCTTTATTTTACTTTGGAGTCAACACAGTCACATAGTATTATCCGACATTGTACTTCGGAAAGTTACTGTTCAAAGAATGACGGATGTTACTTTCCAATCATGTTCTACCGACTTACTGAGTAATATTTGTGCAGGTGTATTATCTGTCATATTCTATTTGACCATAAGTAAGTAGGTAGGTAAGTAGATATTTGGTAAGTAAATAGGTAGGTAGGTTCAGTAGATATGTAGGTGGATATCGTACGTTGGGGTGCGGTATCGTATAAATAAAACAGACTATTCAGTCTGGTCTTTAAACTCTTTTTTAATCAATATAATAAACATTCATGTTGAATTAAGTAATTATGAAAAACTTTAATTTTGTACTACATAGACTAAGAAGAAGACTATAATAAAAAAGACCAAAAAAACTGCTTTTTTTGGTAAATTACTTATTTAGTCTAAAACTTAAACACTAATCATTTATTAGCAAAGTTGTAGTACCACAATCATTCTTATACTCGTATATAGGGTAGTAACAACATTAATTTAATGAATAAATTCTTAAAAATTACAATTTCACAGATCTAATTAAGAGATTATTATTATTCAATTATTAGAAATATTATAAGTAATTAAAAAGCATAAACAATTCTATTGCACAATTATTCACTCAGATCCATTGTTATCACCAGAAACATTATTTTCACGAGTTAAATTTCTAAAAGAGTAATGGTATTTGGTAGGTACGAGTATTATTGAGGAATCGCAAAGACTAATAAGATTATATTTATCATTACTGATTGGAATTGGACCCACATATGCTTTGTGTACGATTGGAGTATTGTAATTTCTAGTGTCCTTTCGAAGTACAAGTGTTTTTTTCTATTAAAGTGCTTCCGTCATATTTATCCCAAGCTGTCCGGACTAACCTTTCACTAATCGAATACGTACTTAAAAACATGATTTTGCAAACCTCTATTTTTGATGTGTCCTTTGGCAAAAAATACTTGTAAATGAATTAACAATTATGCTTTAAATCTCTTTGAAAACCCCTTTTCTTTTTCTGTTTTGTAGTATGATTCTCACGATCACCTGATTTGAAAAACTTTTAAAATGCATCCTATCTTTCTTCTAGAGTGAACATAGTGTAACATTTATATCTACGCGTGCAAGGGCCACCTATAGTTTTTGCTGGAACAATAACGCCCTTTTTGGAGGAGTATTCTTTTCCTGCATTCGTTAAGCGTTTTCTTTTAAATTCTTTCTCTTCATCATAATTTCGGACACGTTTTTGACTTCTACATGGAATAAGAGGCGCTGGAGACGATTGGCATGAAGATACAGCTGTGTTGATTGATTGACAGTTGCTATAGTCTGCAACATCGTGAGTGAGACAAAAAAATCATTACATACTTCACCATAGGTTTTTGCTATGGATGGAATAGGTGTTTGTCTTTTGTTGTCAACAGCTGGGGTAATCGGTTGAGGGAAAGGTGACAAAGGTCAAGATAGAGGTATTTAAAGGGGTTAAAGCTGTGCTAATATTTAAGAGGGACACGACACCATGCTGATTTTCTGACGAGAATAAATATGGTGAGGATACATTTTGACACACGGCTATAAAAGGATCTTCTCCAAGACCACAATTAGATGATGGTATGTTCGAGTCCGTATTTTCATCTGTTGATTTTATGATTTCGCTTGTTCCGTGTACGTCACCTAAAAAGGCATCTTTGTCGTTCATCTCTTGGTAATGGCCAATGTTATTCTGAAAAAATATCACTATAGTTAAAAATATATAGATTATTAATATCACAGGTCAACATTTACTAAAAACTGTACGACTATTCACAATAAAAATATTCGAATGAATAAAAATCATAAAATTTACATAGGTAAATTATTACTCAGATCAGATTAAAAAATGTATTAAATATATACAATAGTATATATACATATAATTATTGTTTGTTCAATAGAACAAAGGCGGAAGTAAAATCGTTTGTACAAAAGTTTTAATTTTAAATTATATTGTTTGTTTTTGGTAAAAGGAAATTAGGTCTGTGTCAGTCAATAAACACATTTGATATTATTTTATGTCATAAATGTGAGAAGAACCAAGCCATTCCTTGCCGCAAGTTCGGTGTTCGTTTAAGACCAACCACAGCTATTTTGACTAAGCGCATTTTATCGTTTACAGACAAAGACCTACCTTTTTGCGGATCATTATCAAATAGTAGCATCTGTTACTATTTTCTTTTTTTAAATTCACATGTTTGACGAATTCAGTATTTTTAAGAATGAAAAGATGTTTCATTTTACCACGTTTTTATTAAATCACTCTCTTGTTTGTCTGTTTTTCCGGGTGGAATTTAGTAATTAATTTTAAACTAGCTTCACAGAGCTTCAAATTTTGAATGTAACTCAAATTTGGATGACAGTGCAATAATATGATAAAAAACGTGGTAAAAAATAAAAAAATAACTTGTTATATATCTACTATATCTCTATATATGTAATGGAATCTTTTAATGTAATTAATAATTGTTTATATATTAATGTTATGAGACTGATGGTAGGATACTAAAGTTATGTATTTCTTATCTTTATTATTTCATATAAGTTATTTTATATACATGGAAGAGCGAAGTCACCTGTTATAGGAATTATTTTGTAAGTTTTATTAAATTTTAATATCATTAACAGATAAGACTGAAATTTGACGTCTCTGTAGCGTAGTAGCTAAGCATTTGACTGCGGTGATGCAGTCAGCGTTTTTAATTCCCGGGATTCTGAGATTCTCAAATACACAGAACACAGCCGACAAAATATGTTTTAGATATGGATTTCAATAGGCAATTCACGTCAGAAAAAGTGTCTGGTAGTCTGTCAGTCTATTTCACTTGATGAAGTTTCGAGACAAAACGCGTATCGTGTTATTGACGGTGGTTGTGTCTTTACTAGTGTTGTGGTGTTGGGAGTAGTGGTATAGGGCTTTAGCTTATTAATTTTTAAAATCCTTAGTAGTAATAAAAGTTTCTTTCAGAAACCGCTTAGCAGGAAAAAGGAGCGCAAGTTCGCCATACAGTCGAAATTTTGCTGAAGATGTTTTTTTAGTTTCCTTACATAATGTTACATTAATTGCTTACTCATAATAAATGTTGTGTTATAAGTATAACATAAAGGAAAAATAATTTGAATCAAATGTGACTACAAAGTATACCACATCAAGTTAAATATTATTTTGGTATGTGACCACAGAGATCTAAAATCCTCTTTGTTGTCACTGACCACATGATTTTAAACGGAATGCCGTGATGGGTATTGCGGTTGGACGTTTTCATGTTTGCGAAATGAATCCCCGGAAAGGATAATACAAAGCATTTTTAAACAAGAAACAAAGCTTTATCTGGCTTCAAAATAAAGACTAATTCAATAAGGTAATATATAAGATAATATGAAACAAATAAATCACCTATAAAGGGCCTCAAAAGTGGATTATTTTCCATAGTTCACGTCACGCTTGGCTGGCAGTGTTTTGTTATTTTACAATAAAATACCTACAATATTTTTATTTTAGGCATCAAGGACTTAAACATAGAACCTTGGCCCAGACACTTCAAATATATAGACTTCTGATTCCGATGCCACATAGAGGACCTATGTGTCATCGGTTTTGTTTTTCCACAAAGCGCAAGAAGTCTTCTCCAAAGTAATTTTGTCTATAAGGGAGATATACAGCTGTTTGGTGGGTTCCACAAAACGCAGAGCATGTACTCGTATTTGCGCTATTTTCTCTGTCCCAAGCTAGTTGCAGGTATCCATCGACATCCTTTCTCAACAAGAGTAAGCCTGTCATTATCGATCTTGTAGTTGGTCATCACGAGAACAGATTTCGTATCAACACTTTCTCGTTTTGGATCACAAGAGGATGCCGGACGTGAAATTTTCAGAAGACTTCCGCAAACGTCTTTCCTTATCAATCACCACTCGAGTGTTCAATCAAGCGAGGTGGTAATGCAACAACCTACGAGGTTGTCCTAGTTTCACGGTCATCAACCCGCTGACATATGGTATTTGGTGACGGATTCGTAATCATCGTTGAAATAATATAACTACTATTATGGTTACCATGTGCTATTTTTATATTATGCGAAGATCTTCGTGGTTTTAAATTGTTATCGGAAAGATGATGCTGTCCATTTTTTGTTTCACTTTTATCTGTCGCCCTTACGTCTTGCAAGGGATAATATGGGAGTGGTGGATTCTCTTACGCCGCTACTACACTGCGACACCGCCACATTACTGCTGTTAAAATTTACTATCCACATGCGAGGCATGCTAGACATAAAAGGAATTCTGCTATCTATACTTGGTATCTTTTTTTTTTTTTTTAATAGGATAACGGTGACAAACGAGCACACAGTCCACCTGATGGTAAGTGGTTGCTGCGGCCCATAGACATCTACATCTATCCTCTGTTACTAATCAAAATGTAGATGTGTTGTCACCCGTGAGGACTAAGATGAAATGCCTCATTTCCAGTAAAAAGGGCCTCCGGCCACCTGCACTCACCAAGCGAAACGCAGAGGTAAACCTCTACTTCACGCTGGTTTTCTGTGAGGTCGTGGTACTACCCCGGTTCGAGCCGGCCCATCCGTGCGACAGCAAAAGCTGCCGCGTGGCTCTACCACTGTTAAGAATTCACTAAGAATTCTTTGTTTTTGTTTAATTATATACAGAATTGTTGTATATTTCATGTAATTTATAATATTAATTCAATAGCTGTTACTAGTTGTCATAATACAACACTGTACATCCTATAAACCATTACAATAGATGCATCAGTGGCGTAGTAATATGGGATCAATTTGATGGCCCCGTTTCCATACTGTCTTGCATAGGTCAGCGACTATTTATAATGCATGGGCAACACTGTATTGGAATACAATCAAATCATTGAAAATCCATTTAGTTGATTTCTAATATATTATAAAATTATAATTAATCTTAATATTCCCTTCACTTACAAATTAAACACGGTTGATTATCTGGCATGTCTATTCTCGTTCAAGCTGACTAATATAAAGACATTCTTACCTATTATTTTTAATAGTACGACCATAGAAAGAAGAATATCTCTTTATCTAGGATCTAGGTATATTAGATTTGTTAACGGGGATATATTTAGATTGATATGCCACCATAAATCACTTGACAAGCCTTTTCTCTCTGTCAAAGGATACATCGCGTACCTATAAGTGAGGTCGACATTATTTAGGAAAGAAGTTGTCGCGACTTACAAAAAAACACCAACATTTTAGTGTGTCGTAGATTTAATTCACCGCATTTATTCCCGTGGGTGTCATAAGAGGTGAATATTTGAGTTTTTTTTTAATATAACAGGGAGCAAACGATCTCGCGGCTCACCTGATAGTAAGTGACTACCGCCGGCCATGAACAACTGCAACACTAGGGGAAAGAAAGGAAAAAAAAAGCTTCCAGTAAGATATAATTCTTTTCGATAGATAGAGGTTTAACCATTTCACTTACGCTAGACGTAAAATTACTAGATGGTAAGATTTCTTTTTTTTTTGCCTAGGAGTCCGTCATGGTCCGTCGTGGACCACCAACTTCTTACCTATTACTGCTGCCAAAAAGCATTACTTTCACTGATGTGATCCGGTTTAAAAGGTTTAGAGAGTCAGTATAATGACATGTGGTGTGAGGTATTCCATCTTATCCCACTGAGTTTTGTATAGTTGAAGCGACAGTAGCCTAATGGCAGGGTGCGGATCACGAACTCGAAAGGTCGTGGGTTCAAATCCACCATTCAACTACTCTCGTGAATCATTTCTAACACAAGCATTTTAAGCTTACCAGAAGTGGTTTAAGGGAATATTAGTAATGTTTAAATAGCATTACTAGTATTTATTTTCATAAAAAAAAAAACCAAAAATAACTGCGGTGACTACGCATCTATAGGCTTCTTTACCTGGGTTTTGTCTACAGATGTCAATGGAGTGTAGCAGCCACTTACCACCAGGTGAATCGTAATATGTTCGTTAATCACTTAATTTTTATAAAAAAATATAATTGTTTAATACATGTACGTTGTTTCAAACAATCAATATAATTAATGGAAATATAGAGCCTTGATCAGAGGCTGGGCGCTCACCTTACTGGATGCGAGAAAAGCATGTTCGATTCCGAAAGTAATCTGATATTGTCCTGTAGTCAGATAGTCTGAAATAGAAGTGAATAAAAAAACTGAAAAGTGTATTAAGTATAGAATACTTTACAATTTATTAATATTAATAAAAATGTCTATTTTAGCAACTAAAATTTATAGGCATAGCCGTCATCTGAACAGAAATGTGTTATTGGAATAAATGATTTTCCCTCGTCCAACATAGAGATTTTCATTATATACTGAGTCACTTGACCGAGTTTCACCACAAAGGAATCTAACTACTTTTATCTTTTTAGTGAAGCATTATTGCGGTCAGCAAAAAGGTCCCTAGATCAAAAGAGATTGCTATAAATATATCGTTGAAAATAAAACTACTTGAGTTCACATTGTTATTAGTTTTGCAACGAATAGGTATTCCTTTGGTTTCAGATTATATTTCATGTATCATAGTTACAACACCTGATGGTTAGGCATGAAACTACTGCCATTATCATATTAAATGTCATCAAACTTCCGAAATATAAGAAAAAATATTGAGTTTCTTATTTTTTATATATGAGACATTAGTTGGTTGG